ATGGTATAGTGATGTAGAACTCTTGTAGGAAACTTGACACATTGCCAAGTCCAGGCAAACTAGGTTCACATTAAAGTATATCTACTGTAAAGCCGAAACTTTTTTTGGGATAGAGTTGAGAATCCCATCAGTTTTTTGCCATTTGTGTTGCGTTGAGGAAATGTTCCTTCACTTCCTGTTCCAAAGTCACAAAAGGAAGTGAGAGTCAGACTTCATTTAGATGGGTGGCCTGGGGCAGTTAATTTGTTGTGCTCAGAGAGCTAAATGCCACCTCTGGATGCTGTTTCATTCTTAACTATGACTGCATACAAACTGGCCAATTAACTTCAGCCAGAAACTTAGCAGAAATGCCATTCCTGGACTCAAAATGACTGAGTTCAAGACCAGTCAGAGGCGCTATTCACATGTAACAACTTAGGTCAGCAGTTACATGTGAAGAGCACAGGCGTGGGCCATTGATTTGTACACTGCTGCTGGCTGACAACGGCTGTGCTCAAGCAGTCTTTAGCCCCAGGGACTGGAATCAACAGACTCTGGCTGGTAGCCACCCAGGTGAATGAGGCCCCAGTTTCTCCAAAGTGAGGACAAATCCCCTCTTAGACTGCTGTCCCCATCAGAAGATTTCCCCTCCATTCCTGTACCAGTGACAACTAACATTTTGGCTTTGCTATTACTGTCACAATGGTCCCTGGAGACGGCAAGTCTCCTCAGAAGGAACAGACAGCAACATAAATCTGAAGAAGGATCTAACTCTTGTCCTCTCTATAAAAACTAAGAAAAAAGAAAAACTTTTCCTTGGAGAAATGGGGAGGCTGCCATTGCTGACCCCCTTCTAAAAATGCTAATTGTCTGGCCTCTATGGATCCTCTCTGGCTTTAAAATGATACTAAACTCAAGAGATAAATCTTAAAAATGCATTCAAGTACCTCAACTATTAACAAAAATGTGTCTTATTTGTGTATCACTCAGGCTAGGTTCACACCTGGGCGACCCGTGGTGCACAAAACAGTGTGGATGGCCGCGCGGTCACGGATTTGCACACCACCTCTGATCGTGCTGGCGGTGTCATTCTTTTCAGTTGCGCCAGGCAGATTGCTCGGTTTCCCTCCACAATGCTGCCCGTGCAATCGCACATGATCGCAGCTGAAAATAAAAAAAAGGTGCATGTACCTTTTTTTAGCGATTTCCTCACGGATATAACCCCATTGGAATCAATAGGGCCGCACAGCAACCACACACGATCAGGCGCGTCCCCGGGATCGCCCAAGTCTGCACCAGCCCTCAACTATAGATCCTCAAATTATCTCTGAATTGGTGCTGACACTGTCCTTCCTTCTGGAGGGTGGCTACTTTTGTTCCCCATGGTCCCTGTATGGGTTGTAAAGTAGTCACTGCTCCAAGCTCACTACCGTGATGGGACTACAATCTCAATACAAATGAGTAAACTAAATTTGAGATTGTAGTCCATTATGGAAACAAGCTTGGAGCTTTGGCTACTTTACAACACACACAGGGACCATGAGGAACAGAAGCAGCCACCCTCCAGAAGGAAGGACAGTGCCGCCACCAAGTCAGAGATGATTTGAGGATCTACAGCCGAGTGATACACAAATAAGATAAATTTTTGTTACTAGTTAGAGGACTTGAATGCATTTTTAAGATTTAACTCCTGAGTTTAGTGTCACTTTAATTACTGACCCAGAACAAGTATGCATAATGGAAAAGTCATAAGGCCCTAATCGGCATTCTTTTTTTCCGGGTTTAGGGACTCAAAGTATTAAAGCCAGAGCGTTAGTATTACAGCCAAGCAACTATCATTTGCAGAATGAGGCATCAGAAATGGCAGCCGTTATGGTTCTCTAACCTTAAACAGTAACTGTGTCCCTGGCAAAAAAAAAGTCATAGTTACCAGTATCGCTTTCTTGCAGCCAATCTTTGCTCATTGTAGTCATCTGGAAACCTGGGAATCAAACATACACTTCCACGCATGTTGTTGCATGCCTGCTGTGCTACCTCAACCCCCTTCCTGGCTGCTACATCACTAGTGTGTGCCAGCAGCCCTAAGAGGACAGACATGTGATGTAGTGGCAAGGGGGTGTAGGTACCACAGCATGCAGTAGGAAGATGCTGGCACCCAACACCAATGGAAACGCCCAATGCTAAAAATTCCACCAATGCCTCCAACTCTGCAAAAGAGCAAATACTTGCTGCATGGAAAGCCACTCTGGTAGGTATAACTGGACTCTACTATTGTGAGGGCTTTTCTTCAGTAACAGGGACTCTTTTAGGTGTACATAATCAGAAGATGAACATTGTCCGATTTGTCTCTTAAGTGGCATTTGCAGTATCTACAGGTGTCTTTAAAGCAAACGTAAGGCTGGTTTCCTCTCACGTGTAGTGTTAAGCGCGCGTTAAGCACACCAACATTCACATGTATTTTTGTTATGCTTCCCCCAGTAGAAGCCAAAATACTTTCACCACGAACATGGTGTGACCAGGCCCCAAGAGCTCATTCACTCCACAATGCGCTGACACACATCAACATACATTTTACACACTGCTACACTAAAAAATAAAATGTTTTTCATGTACAGGGCAGTTCGAGATTAAAATACTAACTTTTTTGTTTATAAACACACTTTGTATGTTGTGTAAAGGCCTTGTTTACTCTAGACAGTGCGCTCCGGCCAAATTCTGGCCGGACCGCACTGCATGACAATGCAGCCGGCTCACTGTTGTCGGGCAGGAGGGGGCGTGGCAGTCCATTGAAGTGAATGGCACCATAGCCACTCCCTCCGGCCGCAGGGCACGTCAATGCCTGCGGTCTGGTCCAAACAAAATGCTGCAAAAAACTATTTTGTTCGGACAGGAGCGCAGGCATTGATGTGCCCTGCGTTCCCGGTCGGGCCAATCGCATTGTAACCGGACGGCGTGGCTACGATGCCATTCGCTTAAACGGACCGACATGCACCCTCCTGCACCACAACATAATGAGCCAGCCGCATTGCTTTCCGGCCAGAATTAGGCCGGAACGCACTGTGTCTGGTGTGAGCGAGGCCTAAAAATGCAAAAGGAGTTGCGCTAATATTGCGCAACATAAAAATTTTCAACTACCACCATTTTATTCTATAGGGTCTTGGCATTCAGAAAATATATAATGTTGGGGGGTTTTACGTCTTTTCAGGCCTAAAATGTGGAATATAACATGGGTGCAAAAATTGAAAAAAGGGCCTCAGTCATGAAGGGGTTAACTGTTCCTCAACACACATGCATGGTGTAAATAGGGCACACAGAAAACAATTGCTTTTTTTCCAGTGCCCTTGTATTGATCAATGTGGCTCAGTGAATAGCACTTCTGCCTTGCAGCACTAGGGTCCCTGGCTCCAATCCTGGTCAGGAAACTGTCTGCGAAGAGTTTGCCTGTTCTTGCATGGGTTCCCTCCCACACTCCAAAAGACATGCTGGTAGGTTAATTGGCTCCATTCTAAATGAGCCCCGTATGCATGTGATAGGGGCCACGGATTGTAAGCTCATTAAGAGCAGAAACCGATGTGAATGTGCACTATGTAAATTGTGCAGAGTGCCACAAATGTGACCGGTGTAAACAAGTGAAGTGCTCGAAGTGACCGCCACAGATGGGGCCATGCAGAACCTCAGAGAAGTAAAGATAGGTCACCAGCATGGTGTAGCCTTGGAGGAAGGGACCCTTTGTGGCCCCGGAACGTTAGACGTTTTGACCTATGTGACATTATTTGCGATAAATAATATGTTCTTTGCACTTTGGAGTGCCGGTAACCAATCTTCTCAGCATGTAAAGCGCTGCCTATAGTGTTGGCGCTATATAAATAAAATGCAGATCAACACACCCGGTGTGAACATGCCTTAAGCCCCTGTTTACATCTACGCAAAGCCAGAAAAGTGTGTGCGGTGATGCCATTATTTGTTAAAGGCACCCCAACACACGGCAACATATTACCATGTGTTGTGATGCGACAATTATAAAAGTCCTGCACTTCTTTGAGCGATTTACAGGAGGTAGGCACTCCATTCACCTAAACGGGCTGTCCCAGCGCAAAAACGCACATGCAATGCCGCATCGCACAGATGTGCACCCATGCTCAGGGAGAACCCAACTGCAACAAAGGGGGGAAAGTTGACTAGCCATGGTGCTCTGGTAATAAACATGCACGCTCAGCCAACAAAATCATCTGGAGTGATTAAATCTTGCATTATACTCCATGCATCATCTCATTAGTGAGTCATAAAAAAAAAAAAGCTGCATTTTGCTCTGTGCGGGGGGGGGATACGGCTTGCATGGAAATACCTGATGTCAATGCTGGGACAACAGCACGGTGTACCCAGAGCTGCGATCAATAGCTGGTGGTCGCCACCATCGGCCTAGTGTGCAGCGCCAGCTGTGGAATAGAGAAGCCTGTAGTACAGAGGAGGCCTCCATCCACAGCCTGCACAACACTAGCCGGCCGCTCATAATGCGTAGAGGGGATGGAGGGAAGTGCTCGGAGCCCAGGCCCCCTCCTTGGTAAAGCATACCAAGGGCAGCGATCTAACCCCCCCCCCCCCGATGCGAGCACACACAGGCAGAGAAGAGAGCACACACCAAAAGGAACAGTGATCTGCGGCTACAAACCTCGCTGTTAAAGGTTTTGACGGCCTCCATGTTGTCGGGTGATGTAGAAGCGCCGTGTTGTTTGGAGGAGGAGGTGGCGACGGCGCTCAGGGGAAAGAGGAGGAGGAGGAGAAAACAGAGGGAGGGGGAGGAAGCGGAAGCCGGAGCACACGCCTCGTGATAGGTGTTGCAGCAGTGAGCTGCAGTGTGTAGAAAGAAGGAAGCTCGCTGACACACAAACAGGCGACACGCTGCCGTACAGTAGAATGTGTGTGCGTGCCATGAGCGGGAGAGGTGACACTCTAAAGTGTCTGGCTCTCTGGAAGTATAAGAGCCTGCTCTCACAACCGGACCGGTCAGCGCCTGGCGGGACTTGTAGTTCCCACACGGCTGCCTCTTTTAATTGGGCAACAAACAGCGGCGCCCGGGAAGAAAGCAGCAGATATGCGACCTTCTCCTCACATGTACGGGGCGCCAGGTGGGACACAAAGGAGAGCGATTTATAGTGTTACAATCACACGAGTAAACCAGACGGGAATGTGCGCCACAAAGGGGAACGCCCCCTCAAGGGAGCTGCAAGCATGCAGTCGTCCAGACAGGAAGTGTTGTCAATGAGAGGGAAAGTGGGCGGGGTTTGTCTTACAGGCTAGCTTTTAAAGAGGTGCTATCTAACCTAAAAATGTATTGTGTTAAAGAAGGACTCTGGGCAAACTACAAATGAACCATTGCAGTGGGGTGACCCCTGAACGGCGCATTTTGGCCTAGGGACAAAAATAATAAAGTATATACTCACTCAGTCCCATCTGGCTGCTTTAATGGTTCCCGCAGCCTCTTCTCCCCTGTGCTCTGTTGGTCAAGGCCCTCCTGACATCCTCACATGTAATACAAGTCCATTGGGTGTGAGGATGGCGAGGGACATACCACAGCCAGAGTGGAGTTGTAGAGGTGAGCAGTCCCCATTTTTTTATTTTAGACCAAAACAAGCACTTAACCCTTGCCCATATCAAGGGTTCATTTGTAATTTGCCCAGTGTTCTTCTTTAAAGTTTACCAATCCTTAAATGTAGTGGCTGCATTAGGTTTCATTTTTACGGTTTTTTATTTTTTCCTTTACCTGACGATCCACCCAGTAACGCACTTCCTGTCTTAGGGTGGCGCCACTCTATGGTGGAGCAATGGAGCCACCCTTGGACAGCAGCATTGTCGTCCTGTGGGTGGGTTGGCATTAAATGGACTAACAAATTAAATCAGAACTCCAGACAACACTTTTTTAGCAACTAAAGGAACATTTTTTTTCCGTTTGTATGAAGGTTTTATTTAAATGAATAAAATCTGAACATTGTGAGCACCCCTGTCAATATTAAATGATTTTGCTAGACAGCTTGGCCTGGTAATAGAAGTTGAAAAGAACAGACTTACTGGCTGGATCACAGGGTTACAATAAGGGAAAACAGAAAACTAATACCGTCACCACATTTAGGAATTGATAGACTTCAATCTAATAACTTTCTTCTTTGGGTTTAGATATGCCTTAACCCTTTCCCTGCCAACAACATAAGGCATACGGTGGAACAAAAACTTTTCAGTTGGCCAGGTCAGTATGCCTTATGTCGCTGGCATTCAGCCTTCTGCAATAAACCTATGGCCACATCAGCAATCATAAGCTTATAGCAGAAGGCTCCCCTCTGACGGTTCTCTCTAAATGGATAGTTGTCATCAGCAGGGATTGGCAGAGGCAGCGGGGATTGGAGGAGATAGACTGCAGCATGCAGTCAGCGCCCAGCGGGGAGGAGAGATCATCTGTGACAACTGAGTCAGGATGCCAAGTGGAGGATCAGCAAATATGTGAAATATTTGCTGATCCTGTCCTGTGCAAACAGCAGAGTCATCATTACTGATCACCCCACGGTTTGTAAATAACTGAGACAGGAAGTGTTTTACTATGCCCCCAGTTATGAATGCACAGGAAGTGCTATACATAATTTCCAGTTCTTTCATGATTGGAGGACATAGTAAAAACTTACTATCTGCTCAGTTTATGAATGACAAGAGCCGCACAGTACAGAGGCTTCCCGTCCATTCATATCTGGGGAAATAGTATTATCTCCTCAGTTTACCAGGTTTGCACACATCTCCTGAGGGATTTTGGTCCACTCTTCTTTACAGATCTTCACTGTAATCTGAACACAGAGATAACGCAGATGCTTTTGCTGTCAGTGTCCATTGATCACACCAAAGCATTGTGTTGATGTGCGCTATGGGAGAATGAAGACATGCTGCATTTATTTGCAGCGCAGCGCACCAACATGTTACAAAATGCGTCTGTGCACAATTTTTAATTTAAATAAAAAAGCATCACGATACATTGTAACAGCGCATAGTAGCATTCATGCACAACACTCTGCAGCATGCACTACGTGTACCTCCGCTGGTGTGAATAGGCCCACATTCTCTCTAATTGTCCTAATCACTAATGTCACCAGGAAGTTAATGGAGGGTAAATACCACATTTGTGAGTCTCCACCAGAACAGAAATAGAGGGGAAATATGCCAAAAGGGACACTTGTTCCTGTGATAACTAAGAGATGATTAGCTCACAATGGAAAGACATACTCTCACTTCCTGTTAAGCCTACCGAACAGGAAGTGAAGGGTAATCTCCCTAATTAGACACACATGGCCAAAAAAACATACAGTTTTAACTTTCACCTACTATATCCAAAAAAATTAAAAAAAGCTTTGCCTTTATACTTTAAAGTGACACTAAACTCAGGAGTTAAATCTTAAAAATGCATTGAAGTACCTTAACTATTAACTAAAATGTAGATCATTTGTGTATCACTCAGTTGTAGATCATCAAATCATCTCTGAATTGGTGCTGACACTGTCCTTCCTTCTGGAGGGTGGCTACTTCTGTTTCCCATGGTCCCTGTGTGTGTTGTAAAGTAGCCACCGCTCCAAGCTCGTTCCTGTGATGGACTACAATCTCACATTAAGTTTACAAATTTTTATTGAGATTGTGGTCTATCACAGGAGTGAGCTTGGATTGATTGGTGGCTACTTTACAACACACACAGGGAGCATGAAGAACAAACGTAGTCACCCACCAGAATAAAGGACAGCGTCAGCACCAATTCAGAGATGATTTGAGGATCTACAGCTGAGTCATGCACAAATAAGATACATTTATGTTATTAGTTAAAGGAGAACTTTGAGGTTAGGGCTTTTGCCCATAGTTCTCCTAAGGGTAACGAGAGGACACAAACTAGCATCCTCCAGTCACCCTAAGCTCAGTATACCGCAAGCTACGGCTCATGGTATACTGAGACGCCGCAGCCGGGACGGATCAGGGGGGGGGGGGGGGGGGGGGGGCAATTCCTGCAGGGAGCCGTGAGTGACAGTCTCTATCTACCAATATCTGCACAGCCCCGTGATGTCCAGAGGGAAAGGCAGTCCTTTATACCACAGAGGGGTTTCCTCTCCTGAGTGCTGAGGGACAACTCTTTGTAGGGGTTTCTATTCATTTCATCCTCTTAACGCTTTCACTGCCTGAGTCTTCTTTCGCATGCATGTTAAAACACACCTTTTAGGCCCGTGGATTAGTTTAAACCCCCCAGAATTGTATATTGTTTGAAACCAGAGACCCTGGAGAATAAATGGTGGCAGTTGCCCTGTCTTGTATCACACAATATTTGCGCAACTGTTTATCAAACCCACATTTTTGTTTAAAAATGCATTCCGAGGTCCCTGGATACCTTAGACAATGGGAACGTGACGTAGGACTGATTTTTTCCGAGGCCCAGAAAGACTGGATTTTCTATTTCGCACATAAGTCATTCATTACCTGTAGGATACAGGGATACGGCTTTAAAATAATTTTTAGGTGGTATAGGCTCCCTGTCACTATATTCTTTCCGCAGACTTCTCCCTTATGTTAGCGATGCAACCAGGCTCATGGCAAGATGTTACATGTCTTTTGCGACTGTCCAACCCTTCAACCATTTTGGTTGAGTGTCCATCATTGGTCTAAGCACTTAACAGGATTTGACCTGGGTGACCACCCTGAGGCGTATCTTCTCTACTTGAATTCTTTGTCGAAACGGTGGTATAGGAAATCCCTTTTGATACATCTGGTTAATGCGGCAAGAACCTGTGTGCTGCTGTGTTAGAAACAGACCTGTCCACCCTCCCTTGTTCTTTGATGCTGGAAAGTCCAAGAGTTGTGTAGTATGGAGGAGTTGATAGCGGATCTCCACCCTCGAGAGGAGGCCTTCCGGGAGATCTGATTTTACTGGTTTGAATGCACGTTTTCTTCCAATTATAAGTCCATTTTGGGCTTGGAGTAAAGGACCCTGGTGAGCCTGGAGGACTTTCGGGAGGTCCTAGGCAGCCTCACTTTGCTTTTCCCTTCCCTCCTTTCTTTGCTGTGCTTTGCCTTTTTCCTCTTCACTTCATCTCTATACTGTTTTGTCCCCCCACACTCGGTTCATGGTTTTATTCCTTTTCTTCTCTTGTTCTTTTCCTGTGTGTTTTACATATTCAAAAACATTTTTTAAATGCCATGGAAGTGCAGGGAGCATCTGTATTAGGCCTAGCTGCACTTATAAATTTCCTCAGGAACCACAGGATCTCTTTGGGGTCTAATGAGTACAATGTTTTTGCTTGTTTGCTTTATTGTCAGTGTTGCTTATTTTAATATACCCTTGGACACTATTGATTTCACTTGCGGATTTGACTATGTATATTCCGTATGTTATTTTATTGTCTCCGTGTACTTCTGAGTGGCAGTTATAGAATGAAGCTAAAAGTCCCCTATGTGATTTCACATTATAGAAGATAGGTTGTCTTTAAGGTAACATTAGGGATCTATTAAACCCTTAATGCCACCTTTCTTTACCTTTGAAGCTGATCAAGCATAGATCATGCTTGAACAGCTTCTTACCCAATCTCAGTGACCAGGTAATGACCGTTCTAAATGTGGAAGTGACAAATGTATCGCTACTTACAGGTTCATTTACAAGAGAGATCTGCAAACAGTGTTCGCTGGTATCCCTCCCATCCTACCACCGATACCCCCCCATGGCTGTCCCAGGCCCTCAGCCTGGAATAGATGGCGGTGGTCGGGGAATCACTTCCAACACAAAGCCAACAGTCAGCTTGTGTGGGCTGAACATAGTACCAGCTGCTATAGTAGTTGGGGAGTGT